AGGAGGGATAATGATGTAAGAAGGGACAATTGTTGGGAAGCTGCAATGACGCAGAGGAAAGAATAAGGGCACTAAGGAGATTATAGAGGAGATAGTAAGAGGTGATAAGAAATTTTTGGCCTAACTCATTAATAGCAATAATGTCTCATCTTTTAAAGTTTTTATTTATTTGATTACATTTTCTTGATTTTTTTTTCATGTGTAAGTAACAGCATAATTAATTGTGGTCTTCATTTGTTCTCACTGAATTTCCACTTCTCCAATTCATGGAGGGTTCCTTTGTCTTAGTTGGGTAGAGAGGTTACATAGTAGAACCTAAAGCAAAAGTTTTCTGAAAACTTTCTGCTAGATTTTATTTTGCATATTAGGCCATTCTTAAAGGATAAGGGAAAGAGGTAAATGCATTTTGTATTGAATGGAGTGGTACAGAAATACAAGAGCCTAGGGTAGAGAAGATTCACTAGCATGGGAAAGGACAGTGGGAACTATGGTTTTTAAAGCATCAGGAGTCCATGCCCACTCAGCACCAACGAAAGTAGTGGGACAACAGTGAATATAACCCTAGATTTCTGGGCTCCCTGTCTTGACAAATATTTCCATGGTCACACATGCCTCCGAGGCCTCAGTGCCACTGTAAGACTAAATGAGCAATAAATGTATCAATGTAGACAAGTGTAAACTATATGCTAGTAGGGCACCCCTGAATTTTCTCATTCATAAAAGATACTTGGGATCTTTTGATAACCCTAGTGAATGAAAGAGGAATGACTGAAATTAAATTTCCCCCAGACTGGTGGAATGGGTGTTGAAATCAAAATAACCGTTTTTGTTTGCTTGGATTCCGCACATTCATTTACGGATCAAATGAAGCCCATACTTCCCCAACTTTTTTACACAATTTAAATTTTACATTATATTGTGGAGAAAAGCTTTTCCTTTTTCTTGGAGTTCAATTTACTTTGAACTTCATTCCATTCATTTCCAATTACTTAAACTTGTGAGACTCAACTTTATGGTGTTGCATGCTTACTTTTTAGACTTTTGGATAGATTATTCCATTTGGTATGCATTTTAGAAGTGCCTTCCTACCTGCAAATCAGACAGACTCAACTGCAAACAAAACAAAACAAAACATGACTTTAGGGAATGCCTGATATTTAGCTGTTTATAGGAACATAATTTAAAATTTTGGATGAAAAACTATATTGACAAGCTCTGAAGGCCCTTATTTATCTCAGGATGATGCAACATAAACAGCTTATCTTAAGAAAAAGAATCACATTCAAACCAAAAGTCTGCATAAAACAGCCAGTTAAATGGCTTGTTTACTTTTTGTGCTCTTATTTTACTAAACAATGTTTGCCATTACTTATGAGCCTTGTGTAATTACTGAAGGGTTATAGTGGCCCTTATGTGTTGTTTTAAAGGTAAGTAAAATTTAGTAAGGATCAATGTCTATATTAACCTATCTTTTGTTTGTTTCACTTCAGATTTGTAGGGTAAAATCTTTTGAAATTACCAAAAATAGGTCCTGACATTTTAGTCACCTGACCAGAGCACAGATGATACTTTCATGAAACAACAAATGGATTTCTGAGTTTTAAGTGGTTGTAGATACAATAGCACCAAAGACAATCCAGGCAAAATAAAAAGGGCCCATTTCTGCCCTTCAACTCATGTTTCTATTGAACAATTTCTGTATGTTAAGCACCAAACAGGAGACTTTGACATATGAGGTGGCAAAACTGTAAGAAATGGTTAATCCCAAGTCTTATTTTGTATATATTTACAAAGTAGGGTGTGAACTAGCTTCTGAAAATGTAAATCCATATAGAATCCCTTTTACTCTTTCTTGAACTACTATTTTTAGGTCAGTTGACATGGTTGTGAGCAACATAAAATGTGATATGTGACAATGATTTCTAAAACATGTTTGATTTTAATTCATTAGATGCCACCTTTCAGTTTTTAGAATTAAAACGTAGCCATACTTCTGAGTATTCTTAAATCAAGGTAAGGGCTCTATTTTTTTTTCCAAAAAATGCTATCATATCAGATGAAAATTAGTGTTAAAAAAGGATTCATTCAATGAATTTGCAGCATGGAAGTCCTTAGACCCCACTGCTCATGTTGTGAGTGATAAAGTTACTAATAACAAATAACTAACGACTTCTAGTCAAGACCTATCCTGTTCCCATGCTTTGGTAAAGAGTCCCCAGAATAATGCCCTCTCTCAGTGTTAGGGACTCACCCTGTCTGAGCTAATTACAATTTGTGATGATACTTTTATTCCTTTGCTCCTAACACTGTCCCTTAAAGTTGAAGTCAGTGTACCCTATAATAAAGTTGAGTAAAACAATTTGATTGTAATGAAACATTTTGAATTCAGCCTTTAACATACTGGACAAGCATGACGTGTTCAGGTAGCCCAGCTCCAGAATACCTGGCCACACAGGCCAAATTAGGACAATACCCAGTAGGCTGTAAGGAGTAAATCTGATGAACACCTCTCCAAAAGAGATGGCAGGATGTACATGAGACTATGCTTTTAATACTCCACTGCTGAGACCTGCTGAGGGAAGTTCTGTTCTTCTGGTCCTAAAGAAAGGACTAAGCTTCTTTGAAAACTTGCCATGATTACTCCATCTTCTGTATTACACCATCAGCCTGCACTAAACCCCTTCTTAAATGAAAGATACTCTCTGGATAGAGTTCTTCACCTTTCCTCTCCTCTGGACTTGAAAATACTGGGGTGGGACGGGAGGAAAGGCAACATTGGAATTTGCTTGAGTTTTACCCATACCATGTGAATCTATGCCCATATGTAAAGTCTTATATATTTAGAGGAAAATTATTCAGTTTCCAATTTCACCACTACAGCCAGAAAGTATTTTTTAATCAGATTAATATATCCCTCTTTGGCCAGAATTCCAAATGCAACAACAAGCTGAACCCCTAACATATTCCAATCAGATCATTATTATACACTTTAAAGAGATGAATATTATTTGAGTAAGTCCTAATTCTATGGCATCAGACAAGTATATTTCAATAATTACACCAACTAATGATTTATAAAATTTTATTTTTCAAGGTTAAACAATGATTCATTGTAGACTTTCTGAGCAAACAATTAGCAGTATTGAAGATTGTTTCAATTTTTTTTAGAGTACACATTGAAAACAAATTAATTTGATTTCAGTAGACACATTTGTTAAAATAAACCGAAGAGTACTTAAAAGATCCCACTGAATGCATGTGGGGTTATTCCTAGTTTTATGGATACTGTTTCAACTAAATAAATCTTGGCAGAGAACACTTAGTAATTAATGCACCTAGAAACTGATAGCACTAAAATATTAAAACTTATGCATTCCAATGTTTATGTGTATATGTGTGTAGGTACATGTGATTCTGCTTTGCCTGTTTTACTATCTTAATGATTATCCCTTCTTACTGTTTCCTCTGGGGATCTTACCTTACTTCTACTGACAATCACTCAAATTTTCTTACCAGCCCCTTTATCCATCATTTTCTAGTTTTCAAATATTTCCAATAATGGCTTTTATTTTAGACAAGGGCTTTGTTGAAAAATTAAATTATACCAAAATAAAACCATACCTTATCCCTAGTGCTGCTCATGACCTGCCAGAATGTTCATGGTTCGAATCACAAGGCTAGGGAAATTGTCTAGTCAGGAGCCTTCCTTCTGCACGTCCTTCATGGGCTGGGGCTTCCAGGTGCTGCTACTACAAGGTAATGTATAGATATAATTTCTTCTGTCTCTTACAAAATAAACTGACCACAAAATACCATTGTCCCTTCACTTTCTTGTTTCAGCTGGCAAAGGATGTAAAGATTCCAGATGGATTTACATAGAAATCTGCAATATTCATTAGCTATGAGCCACTTTAAATATTTTCTGTCCTTTCTACATGCTTACCTAACATTTCAATCTTCCTTCTTGACATGTGCCCAGCTTCCTTTCTTTATTAACACTTTATCCTTTAAAGCTCGGTTTATCATTTGCAATCTCTCTTGCTTGGTTACTTTGGGACATCTTTGTAGATTCAGTTCACTTTTGCTTATTTTTACTGGAATAATTGCCACAGAGCACAATGAGAGTTGACTTCCTAAAATAGTTTTCTGTCTTACTGTATTAAAATATGATTTTAAGATAAAACTTAATTTTAAGCTTAACTTTGAGTAAATATTATGAAAAAATGGATTATTAAAAGACTTGATTCTACACACTACTTATATGAGAAAATTTTCTGAAATTAAAACATAGCAAGCTCCATTTGCTCAGCGATGAGGTACTTGCACAAAGTTCCCCATGGCCTTTTGGTGTACAAATTTATAATAATGAAGACTACTTCTAGAAAAAAGTCAACATGAAAGTTTGTTTCTTAAAAAACTACTGAATGAAAAAAGTTGTTTGAGTTGTAAACACTCAAGGATAAGCCAGTTTTAGGATCACATTATTGTGTCACAGTAAAAGAAATGTGAGTCACATTTATTTCCTTAGTTCATGGATTCAGGCTTTCCTAAATTCTCAATAATGAGCTACTATACTCTTGATATAAAGTTGTTAGGAAAATCCAAATCTTCATTTCTGGCGCTAAATGCCAAGAAATGTGCTATTATGAAATCACGCATAGTCAGCTGCTTTTGAATTTTGGTTAACCAGGTAGTTTGAAAATTATCATCCCACTAGCACTGTCCTCAGATTTTAGAAGCAGAACTAGAGGAATTATATTGAGGTATACTTTGTGGCAGTTCTGTTGCTTTCCTATTGCCACAGAACTAACCATGGTATTGAGGATGGATATGCAGAAATTATACTCTTCATCAGGTAGCAGTTACCATAGGTGATCAAACATCACCAGTCTATGGTGTCTATAACATATTTGGGTGATGGACTAGCATAACTTTCACTATTCTAATTTTGCAGACTTATATATATGGTGAAAGTTGTATATTTTTGAAATCTTTTCTTTTTTTTACCTTTAAGTCTTTACGTATGAACTTATCACTGAATATTTTTAGATTAATTTCTGATTTTACAAAAATAGAGACACGAAAAACACAGATATTAGCAACGTTTCTTCATTGTTATGTTTCGTTCCTTTTGTTTAATACTGGAACGAAACTTTCGTGTGGTCTAATCTTGGATTGGGCAAATATTTGATGCTGTCTGATAGTCATATTTTTGGCCAGATAACTTTTATAAATCAATCTATCTGCTTTGGGGAGTAGAATTTGACACCTACCTTAAGGTATTAAAAAAAAAAAAACTCATTCTACAGTACATGTGTATAGGAGTTTAGTCCTGTATTTAGGCTCACAAGTGTATTATTTGGTGGTTTGTAACAACAGCTATTGCACATCTTTTGGGGGTTCTGAGAAAAAACAAGCATCTGGGGGCTTCCTTCCTTTCTTCTTATCAGGAAAAAAACAGCTTAAAAATGGGTGAAAAGAACACAACTGGTCTTTAGCTATAGGCTTAATTATTATGAATCAGTGAGCAAAAGGATGGTGGCCTTTTCCTGTTTATCACCATAGCTTTCTCTGGGCATGCAGGTTGTTCAACCTTAGTCTGGGCTATAGCAGTCCTTAAGATTTTTGTTTCTTGACAAAACTTTGGTTCTTTAAGTAATTTTGGAAAAATCACATACAGTTTGTCGATGTTTTTCTTTTTCTGAAAAATCTTATCCCAGGGCCAATTCTTTTGAAGGCTGCTTGTAATCTAATTCATAACAGGTTTCTTTAACCCATGTTGTGAAATATGAATACAGATACTGTCCAAACTGTCCAAAGAGTAATGTTTGAATTCACAGTAACAAAAGTTACAAAGTTTGTGCAAAAGATATTGTACACCACTGGAGTACATAGAGCTTGCTATAGTTAATTTTATAAATAAAGCTGCATTTCTCATTCAAACTATTCTGTGCTACATTAAAAGTTAAGTTTTGGATTCAATTTTTACTAAAAATAAAACTGAATGCTCATTTGATCTCTGAAATTTGAAGATGCAGTCTGCCTATACATGATGCTTGTAATGTTGTAATAAATCACTGGAAACTTTTAGACACTGTAATTGCTTTGGAGCTCTTCAAGTTTTCCAAGCGTCATGAAGTAAACCCGGCTGTGGCGATTGCGCAGGATAGAGGTAAAGAATAGCTTGAAAAAGAAAGAAAGACACTGTCAATAGATATTTAATATATCGCAACCAGATATTTGATATATCGCAACCAGATATTTGATATAACTATAATTTTAAATTATCTGCACCTGCTAATTAAAATATTAAGCTTTACTGTTTTGTGGAACAGTTTGTTTTTCAAATTAAAAAATAAGAGTTTAATTTAGAGTCTAAATTATACGTTTTTAAAACAACCTTTTACTGTATTCTACATAGTTATAATTTACATGGTTAAATAAAATTAATATTTTTGTAGGTGGCCTTCATTTGCTGAAGTTCTTGATTATTTGGGGGGAATAATTATTTGCTTTTTAAAACAATAATCTACTTATATTCAAGTTGGCTTTTTTTAAAATATAAAGAAACAAATTATTTACGTGTTGTTTACCATTGCTGCTTGTATTTAAGAAGACACTGAAATTTTCTACTTGGTGCAATTTTCTTTTTTTTTTTAAATTAAAAAAATTAACAGATAATATTATATGTTTTTATCACATACAAAATGATGTTTTGAACTCTATGTACACTGTGGAATTGTTAAATCTAGTTAATTAACAAATACATCACCTCACACCTCACATGGTAATCATTTTTATGGTGAGAGCACATAATATCCACTCATTCAATTTTCTATTTCAGCAAAATGGACTGATATCAATAGATTGATAAAATGAATTAAACCCAGTGGCTTAGAGAGGGACATGTGTAAATGTGGGCTGTGCCATAAGGAAAATTAGAAAAAAAATGCAGATAAATATCAAACAAAGGCCTCCTTGTTAGGACTAAGGCTTTTGACATCCACAGTGGCAATACTTATGAGACCCTGTGACATATTGATGATGATAAGATACACTGGGTGTGACAAAGGGAGGCAGGGAGTCTCTAATTTGTAATACTGTGAAATTACAGCGTATGTAACCGTACATGTTGCTTGATAAAATAAAATATTTGAAATTATTAAAATTTAAATATTAAAAGTATTTAATATTATTAGGCAAAGGCAGCAATCACAGTTACTTTGGTTAATACTCATCAATAAAATGAATAATATTTTAAGAAAAAATATGTGATTATACTGTGTTAAATAAAACTTAAAATACTCTTGCTTAACTCTTCTAAGATCTGCTTCAGAGTTTCACTGTCACCCTACCGTTGAGGGGGATGCAGGACTTTAGGTATATATGAAAATGGTGTTTTAAATTTCATAGTAAGTAAATGTTATCTCAAAATAAAGAGACATCATTGTAAATGTTTTAAAAGATATGCTAGTCACCCTTGACTTAACATATTTGATGTTCCACAAAATTTGTGAGATGCTTTATATATTATCACTAGTTGTCACAATTGTTCCCAAATCATTTATTAATATTTCTATTTTGGAGATGAAGGAACTAAGGATCAGAAAGATTAATCAAACTTCTCTAGTTCTCTAACCTAGTTAGTCCAGTTAGAGCCAGGACTGCATTCTAGGTCTCGATGACCTGAAACACAGGATTTTGCCATTGCATCTCTTTACATTGTAAATTAGCAACTTTGCTTGATGCACAGTGCTTTATCCTGACTGTTCTGATATTAACTAAAATCCTCTGCAATCTCTTCTCAACATGAATGTTTCCTAATCCTATTAGTATTATTTCTTCACACTAGTATTTCCTATAATAGATAGGAATGATAATGATCTTATATAATAAAAATTTCCATCTAAACTATTTGAATTAGTTGTTAAAATTGATCAAATTATATAAATAATTGCCAAATCTTGATTTTATTTTTCTTTTCTGCAAAATAAACATTGTAACAACCACTTGTGGAGATAAGTTGAGATAGCTGTTAAAGTAGCTAGCACAAGGCCTATTATACAATTAGGTGCTCAGCAAACCTAAGTACATTTTCCTTCTGTTATTGAATTATGCTGAAATCTATAAAAGGTAGATTTGTTCAAGCATTTTGTTTAAAATACCATTTTAATATGAACATGAAAGGCACTATGAATCAAAGACAATAAAGCATTTTGAACCAAATAAAATAAAATAATTCGCTTAAGACATAACTAGAATTTTTTCTTATTTTTTCAAAATGGGCTTCTTTTGAAACCAAATTTTACCACTTACCAAGTTAGTGTTTCTACTGCAAAATATAAAATTGTTTTTATTAATAGTATGCCAATTTGAAAAATATAGCACAAGTATATTTATAGCCAGAAGGACAAGGACAGAAATTTATTTCGTTTGTTTATTTTCAATGGTTGCTTTATTTTTGCTTTAACTGGAGGGTGTAAACTATACCTTGTCACCCCGGGTACACAGGAATCTCAGCTTCTTAATTGACCTGCGCTTCAGCTCACTTTCCAGGACCCTGGATTGCAAAGAGCGTACTTCAATGGCCTTTTGGCCCCATCCTGTGGTTCGCTGTGTACACTCAAAAGCTACAATACAAATTTAAAAAATCAGAGAAACACAAAATCTTTCCAGCAGTCATAGAAAATTATAACTACGGTCAATGTTTGGTTCTTAAGAGGCTCATTATTACACTTTAGGTAAACACATCCTGTTTTTCCCTCTGATAGTCAGTTATTTGACCATTTTGCTGCTCAAGAGTGGTGTTCAAACTGGCACTTTTGTAATCAACATTTAATTGCCAGATCTCAATTATTTAATTGTATTCATACCCTCTAAGATGACAAAAAAAGCTAAAGACCAATTCTATCCTGTTTGTCGACATTCTAATCTACTCACATCCACTCTTTATTTTATAGTCTAAGTGAGACACAGCATTCCTAATAAAGGTGTGCATGTGTGTTCCAGTGATATACATGGAAATCTGACTCTTAAAAATTAAAATTGTTAAAAAATGACTTTCTCAAATAATGACTATAGCAACCCTAATTCAATTCAATAAATTATCATGTTATAAGAAGAACCAAAGCTAAATTAATATTCTTAACGTTTTTCCCTGCTCAGGAAATGTTAAGATTTTATCTTTTTGGATTCTATTTTATAATACTTTGTGACAAATATAGACTATGACAATAATTGCCTTGAATCTAATTATGTAAACAGTCAGTCAACTGGTGCTGTAAGATATTTTTGGCACAGGGCACAGCACTACTATTACATCTTTAACTGTCAATTTAACATTTTTTATGTACTTCACAGGGAAAAAAATTCCATAAGCAAATCAAATCCTGACATTTAAAATAATATCAAGATTTTAAATTCAAATTAAAATAGTGTAGGAAATAACAAAATAAGGCATCTTTATTCTCATATTAACATGATTAAAATAAGAATTCAATTAATTTTTTTCTATTATAAAAGGAATAAATTTTGCATTGTTATAATTGTATGACAGATTTTTTAAAATTCCTTATCTTTCCTTAAGGTTCTAGGATTCCTTTATCTAACACAAAACTTATCTGGCCTATATATGTATACATTAAATATACATAAAAGGACTATTAAGGAATTATTAAACATTTATAGAAGTGACTTTTCATAGGCATAGTGTGAGCCATTTTGAATCCCTGAAGTAAAACTTACCGATCATTTATTATTTCCTGCTTTCTTCTACATTACAATTCAAAATATCTAATGTATGAAATTGACATAAAATTTGTAATTTTGACTAAGAAAAATGGCTATCCTGGAAGAAGACTTAATACGTCAAATTTCAGACTGGAATTAAAATCACCCCAGATATAAAGGAAATAAGGAAAATCAGTCGCCAGATGGTTGGGAACAAGTAAGAGGTTTAGTCTATCTAAAGTTAAATTTTCTTCACCTTTGTGACTACTTTATTAAAAATGGTATTTTTGTCAACAACAACATAGACCAAAAATTCTAAACTTAAGCACAGGCTATTTGTTTAGTCCAAGTACATAGTTCATATGGCATCACATAATCTCTACCTTAGTCCCAAAACACCTACATCTGCCACTTAACCTAGCTACTGAGCTAGCTTGCTTTCTGAGATATGACACAGTAATTTGGAAGTGAGAACACAGTAATACAGGCTGCAATTGTTAAGCCTGTATATATTTGTTTGGAAATGGAGAGCAATGATTTGAACACATTTATTATAACTTAATGCAATGTAAAATTTAAATTGGGGAAATCTGGATCTGGATTAGTTTTAAATAACAAAGCAGTTGTTTTTAGACAGAAAATACAGTAATTGATTTCCTTAATATCAGTGTTATATGGCAGTCTTCAGCATACTCTCAAAATATCCTCAATATACAAACTAAAATATCATGTTCTTATAGCACTGTAATTTATTTTACATGTAGCTGTCTTTCAAATTCTAGAAACTTAAAATAGCTTTTTGCTTTAGGTCAGAAGTTGTCCTGCCTGAGGACAAGACCTGTACCAGATGACTTCTCAAGATCCCTTTGACTCTTATGATTCTCTACTGGCATGAATATAAGGGTTTGTTCAGTTTCCTATTTGAACTGAATTTCCTTATTCCCATTTCTGATTAGCATATGGATCACAAAAGTACCACTGTAAAGGATAGAACATAAGTCATTACTTTTACTTTCTTTTGCCCCAGATCTGTCAATTATACTGTAAGCATTTACCTTCTGTCACTTAAAGTGGTTTTAAACCCTCTGTGAGTTCTTTCTTGTTTGAGGAAATTGGAGCAGGTTTTCAAGACAATCTTTAACACTGACTACGTATGCAAAAAGAAAGTATTCTGGAGATGCAAAGCATAATGCCATCATCCCATAAGAAAAATGTTCATTAAAAAGCGGTTCTTTTGAACTGGTCCTTAAAGCCACATGAGGATCATATTTAGTTATAGAGATTACAGAAGCATCTGGCTTCTCATTTGACAGACCATCTTTCTCTCTCTGTCTCTCTCTCTCTCTCTCTCTCTCTCTCTCCACACACACACACACACACACACACACACACACACACACACACACATACACACACACATTGCTACCTTTTTCCTTTATTTGCTCCATTAAACTTCTCTTTTCTATAATAGTTATCCTCCAGCTAATCATTCTACTCTCTCTAATATTTTTACTTTTTGTATGCATTCTGTTCCCTATCTAGAATCATGTCTGGGGTCACTGAGTCTCATAACATATACACGAATCTCAAATTATTTGGATTTCCCAGATCAGCAGTCCTGCTTTGGTGAGGAAGAAAAAAATGTCCTGGTTTGATGAAGACAAAAAGGCAATTTTCTTTGTTGCCACCTGGGTGGTATCTAACAGGCACTCCAGTCAGTGATATCTATCACTTTTCTAAATGATTTGATCATTCACAGGAATATAACTCACAAAATAAAACTCTATTGACTATACAAAATAGAAGTATTTGGCTCTTCTTTTATACTAGTTGGCAGTCTCCTAAGATAAAGATGTACCCCACAATCAGTGTGATGAAAAGAAGCATTTTCAGTACCTGTGTGAAGTCTGCAAGAAAAAGAAGTTAAAACAAAATTACAGATTTTTGAGGAAAGGAATTTGCTCTTGTTTCAATTATAGAATATTACGAATAACTCAGATAACCAAAATGAGTCTCTTTGTGGTACTTTCATGAATTATTAAGCATAGGACAAATACAAGCATTACCTTACTAAGGGAATAAATATGCAGAACCCCAAATTAATCTTATGTGTCTTAAGAAAATGTAATAATTCAGGAAATATTTTCTTAGGACACTTTTTTTTTTACCCTTGGAAAGTTTCTCTGGGGTAATGAAGGAGAAGGAAATTGTACACATACCTATAGAAGACGGTATGTCTTTCCACATTTCAAGGATCTTCTTGAAGAGTTGTTCATTTGCTTCCACAGAGAGGGCTTCAGCATTGAAGGTGAGCATCATGCCAATTCCCAAGCAATCAGGTAAAATGATGATATTCTGTGGTATAATGATTTCCAGGGGCTGGAATTATGTTTCATAAAGATTTATATGTCCAATATTTTATTACTACTACTTTAAATGAAGCAGCTTGGCTGGGCAATAAAGACCAAAAGAGGTTCAAAGAGCAAGGAGGAAGAGAAACCTCTATTTCCAAATTAATAAGCATGCCATCCAGTATTTGAAAAGAGCTGCTTTCTTTATGTCATAAAGCCATAACTTTTAAATATTTTTCTTGATATTTAGGAGAAAGCCTTATATTAAAAAAGCAAAGATGTATTTCCAACACGGATTTTTTGACGTTTCACAACATTGTGTATCATGATAGAAGAAACATTCCTTGCTACAGATGGGTTTAAGATTAATTTCAGTACATTAATAAATAGTTTAGTAATGAGCATATAAACCAAATAACAAATATAGAATACTTGCTTATCAGCTAACTTATTCAAATTAGAAATAGGAAACTAATCTAAAAAAATAGCTTGAGCTTAAAATGCTTATAAGGGACAGCTTTGTAATAGTCTTCACTGCTTGAAATATAACTTTAAGTCATAGCCCCCTTTGCAAAAATTTAGAATTTCTTTTTCAATTAATATAATTTAGTATGTATTTAACATGAATATTCAAAGGCATATTTGATGACATAATATGAAATACTAAGAAATATCTAAGCATTTCTAAATTTCATGATGCACAAAACAATGCAACAAAGTTTTCTTAAACTACAAATACTGCCACATTAACGGTATTTCCCTGCAAATGAAAAATTGTGTTCCCCTATGGTTTCTCCAAACTAATACCGGAAAAAAAAGAAAAAAAAAAAAAAAAAAGGTCAGAAACTATACTTGCCAAACCCAGCGTACTCAGGCCAGGTACTTGAGGCCGTGTCTCAGCAACAACAATCCTTATAACTAAAACGGGGATCCAGAGGCGAAAAGCAATTTTAATGCGTTCCCTGGGCACTTGCATCAGTAATTGAATCAGAAAAAAGATAAAGGAAGAGAATAAAAGAAATTGCAGGAAAGAAGATTGTCTCAATAAAACCTGTTTAGAAAAAAACTGGACTTCTGCAAATCCAGACAGCCTCAGATGCTTCTCAGATGATTCCTGGAGTAACCAGATATTTTTTAGCACACATGGTTCCCTTGTATCATTACAGCTTTTGTAATCTAGCACTCTTAGAAAAATATTATGTTCAGTACATTCTTTCTCAGAAGACACCCTCCTCCCTGATATTAGAGTCCTTTCTCTTTTAATGGGTCAAGACACTAGAGCATTTAGCTAAAAATATTTTTGAATATACACAAGGTATCCTAACTGGGTCAGAAAGTGATTTTTAAGAACCCATCTCTCATTCCAGCTTCCACAGTAACTAGCAAATTGCTTCAAAAATAACTTTTCTTGCTTATTAATCATGTGAAACACAGGGGTCAACATTCCTAAATTACTTTTCAAATAAGTGTAAATGTGGACCAATGCTGCAATGTTCAATACTGCACTAACTTCTTAATAAGAGCTATGTGATACAACATAAAAAAAGATGCAGGAAGCTATGGAAAACACTCCAACTGAAGAGTACAAGAATAGCTACATCAAAACTAACCTGACCTCATATCTAAGTGACTTTGGTTAAGATTGTTTCAGTATTTTCTGCATTATAAGCAGTGTGATTTCTATATAATCATGGGCAACTGAGTAATAAGCTGATTATCTTTAATATGACCAAAAGATTTTTTAAAAATGTCATGGGTATACCTATGTAACAATCCTGCGTGATCTGCACACATACCCCAGAACTTAAAGTATAATAAAATAAAAAGTCCCCGCTAATGTCCTGACAATTGGTTTATGTAATTTGTTAGAGATACAATGAGATAATTCTGAGAGCTGTTCAAAATATCACTCAATTGTAATTTGAAAGTACATCAAAGGTTTCTCCTGGACTTTTTGTATAATGCTAAAGTGCTAAAATTTTGGTTGTCTACAAATTAGAAATTTAAATAAAGTGAAGCAGAGAACTGTTGGTTTAGGCCTTCTTTTTAAATAAAAAATTAAATAGGACAAACATCATTGCCAACATCAAATTTGAGAAACAGTAGAATTACATTTTGTATGGTGCGTGTGAGAGATATTACATTGTGTTCAATCTCTTTATGTAAATGATGTGTATAATATTTTTACAACAATCCATATTTTAGATGTTGTGCCACATTTTCACAAAATATAATTATTTAAGAGTTGAGTATCTGCTTTTAAAATGCTGAATTTCTGATCAGAAATTCCAACTATAATTAACCTAATAAGAGAACATTTTATGATAATATGCTGTCTTGTCACAGTTGAAGTAATATAATAAAGAATAGGGATACACATAATAATGCTGCAATATTGGTGTTGTATTTAAAAAAAATCTATTAATGCATTGTGGAGTACAGAAAATCTAAAGCATGTACTAAAAAATCAAATGCATATTAGGGTCAGTTATTATAAATATATAAACATAAATGGATAGAGAATGTAGAGCATATATCCCATCTAAAAGGAGCCATACATGAATCAATTCCAATTGATAATGGCTGGATAGTCATGTGGCACTGATGCTGTCAGGTCTTCTGATGTATCAAGAGAAGTCCAGGTTTTAAGGGCAAACATTATTCATTACAAAAAAAAAAATAATAAAACCGCTGGGCAAGACAAGCAATATCTATCTGCATAATACACTCAGCTTTCTAAACTAAGTAATCATCAGTGTTTTTTGCTTATGCAAGACCACTTCCTGGCACTCTATACTTACCTTTTATGTCTCAGTTCCAGTATAGACATTGCTAGTCATAGTTTTAAACCTTTCAGAATTTTGACAGTTGGAAAAACTCAAATGGTGGTATGCAACAATTTCTAGAAATTTGAAGGTATTATCTTACATTATTTGGCAGGGTCACATCAGACATAACCTCAGATTCTGCATCTATGATGTGATATCCATCTGCTGAGCTGAAGAAAATCTTTAGTCTTTTTTCAGAACCAATAGCCAAGTCAACTGTCACTGGTTTATGATCAAGTGTTGGAAATACCTGTGAATATAAAATCAAATAAGGCCAAAAGGCCAAAAATGACATTCTAATTAAGGCAAAAAATTCCCTCACTCTTTTGTCAGGTATATAAGTGTAAAAAACCCAGGTGGATATTTTAAATGGCATGTTGTATTTAGAGACCTGTGTATTACAGTTTTTCTTAGATCTGTTATTACAACAAAGAAATAATTATGTTCAATAGCTTCAAAATATTAAGTTTCTCTTCAAAGGTCAGATTGGCAATGATCATAAGAGCCTTGTATGGCCCTGCATTCTGTTTGCTGTCTTCAAGTTCCTTGCCTTGAGCTTCAGCAAATGAAGGAGCTCATCTGGTCTCTTAAACCGGTTCGCTGGATCAGCTGCCTGTATTTTTGCCAGTATTCGTATATAGGCCTCATAGGACATGTAGTCTCCTTCGGAGTCTGCTGATTGATCAGTGCATACTTGGTAGGGAATGAAAAGGGCCAAACATATTAACCTACTATACACTGGGTAGTACTCTAGGCTCCTATGGTTTCTAGTCTAAAACAAAAGGCCAAACAGGATTCATTGCCAATATCAGATCATGGTAGAGAACTGAGTATCACAAGATTCACCATACTGTAGTTGTGAGTTTGGATTCAAGAACTGCAGTGAGGACTTGGACAAGAATTGTTCATCAGGCTAGACAGACTCTTGGTACTTATCTCTTTGCCTTCCAGCTCCATACCAGGCAGCTCTGACCAATCAGCAGACACCCAAGAATAAACTCATATCCAAATACTGACAGCTGACCCAAGGCCCAATTTAGGGAGATCAGATCAGGGATGTGATTTGTGTATGGGTTGACTCAGATTGTATACACAGTCATCTGCACTATTTATAGAAAAACATAGCTATTTTGAAAATAGACATTGGCAGGTAGTCATAAGAATTTGCTCATCTTTATTGTATACATGTAATGTGTTCCCTTACAAAATATACCATGTAAACAGATCCTGACTTAAGATACAGAAGCATTTCATGAATACCTTGCTGCGTCTATCAGGATGGGTTGCTACCGTGCTTTGTTAAAACCTGTATATGGATCAACTAGTTAAGAATCACCTGGAACATCTGCTAAAAGTATCAGTTCCCAGGCCCTGCTCCAGACCCACTAATTCAGTCTGGTGTTGGGTCTGAGATCTAAACTTTTAACAGATGTTCCAGCTAATTCTGATGTACATCCATTAGAAGCTACTGGACATGACAGAATGCTGCCAGTTCTTTAGTCAACCCTCATATGGAATAAATACAAAATAATTCCATTTAAGTAAAATTCTGGAGCATTATAAGTAAGTTACTCTAGATAAAAATAATCCTCCGTTCTTAAGGTTAGTTGTTTGGGACACTAAATTAACTTATGTGGCTGATTCATAGAAGTTCAGCTAAACCATAATAAAGGTGGAAAGAGTACTGGTAAGCCTAATCACCATGGCTTGCAATATTAATAGTTCTAGAGAGAAATGTGTTTAGAGTTCCAGCTTGGAAAGAATATAGACCCACTGAACTCCTTCCCATCCCCACCTACTGTGGAAATGGTAACTGGAGCAAAGGCTTTCTTTTCCCTCCTTTTTCTTCCAAGGGTGTTCCCTCTCTATAATTGTCACACCTTTCTTTACCTTCCCTCTGCTCTCCACCCCCCACTAATAGAGAACAGGGACTTTCTCAGCTTCACGTCATTTGGGTGGCACCCAAAGCCTGTGTTTGGGGCTCTAGAAGAGAAGGTCTTCATGCTGACTACAGGAATTGGGAGTGAGGCGCTGATGAGGCAGTCCTATAAGGGGAGGGGCCAGGGATTTGCCTCGCATTCTCCCTTGCTGTGGTGCTTGTGAATTGCCTAAAAAAGGGTTAACAGTAATTACTTACATGGTATATTCAAGTTACATTAGTAAGACCCCATATCTACAAAAAAAATTAAAAATTAACCAGGCATAGTGTGTGCCGGTAGTCCTAATACTTGGGTGGCTGAAGTGGGAGGATGGCTTGAGCCCAGAAGATCAAGGCTGCAGTGAGCTATGATCATGCCACTGCACTCTAGCCTGGGACATAATGATACCCTGTCTCTAAAAAAATAAACAAGCAAGCAAAATAACAATGAAATTGTATTAACTACAGAAAAATTGTATATACTTCTGCATCTGTTTTCGAAAGTATGATTCTGTTCACAATTTCTTCTCAAAATAAAAAATAATATAATCTAAAGGAAAAGGAGATCACTCACTTTAATAGCAGTGCTTTCATCAAAGGACTTCGGTGCCCATGCATAAAGGTGAATTGATGATTTTAAAGCAATTGCAATATATGTTGTTTCTTCATGTTGGACTACAATGATAAAATAGAAAAAAGTAACGATGCCACAAAGTTAACAAGAACACTTAAGTATTTGTATTTATCATAAAAAATGCCATAACCACAATTTAAGGGCACAGACAGTATATTTTTGGGGAATCTACTTGGTTACAATTTGATGCCCACAAAAAGGTGACTAGATTACTGTATAGTTTTATGGAGTATACATATTTGCCTTCAAGGGCACTCTAAATTGTGCAGTGGAAACATTGATGCAAGAAATTAAAGATATAAATACATGGAAAAATTCTCCTGTTCATAGATAGGTAGATTTAACATTGTTGAAATAGCAATACTGTCCAAAATTATCTCCATAGATTCAATGCAATCCCTATTTAGTGAAGAAATGGAAAAGTTAATCCTAAATTTCACATGGAATCTTAAGCTTCTAATAGCCAAATAATCTTGAAAAAGAAAATCAAAATTGGAGAACTCACACTTTCCAATTTCAAAGCTTACTACAAGTTACAGTAATCAAAGAAGTATGGCACTAAATAATGTAAGGATAGGCATATAGATCAATGGACTAAAATTTGAAGTTGAAAAATAAACCCTTACATCTATGGTCAGTGGTGTTATACCATTCAATAAGGAAATAACAGTCTTTTCAACAAATGGTGCTGGGACAACTGGATATACCTATGCAAAACATTAAAGTTGGAGCCCAAATCTCACACCATATACAAAATTAACTCCAAAACTGATCAAATACATAAATATAAAGGCTAAAACAATAAAACTCTTGGAAGTAAACACGGGGATAAGTCTTGATGACCTTGAATATAGCAATGAATTCTTATATTTGATACTAAAGTATAAAGCAAGAAAAGAAAAAAAAAGATAAATTAGGCTTCATCAAAATTAAAATTTTAGGGCACCAAGGGAAACTACTAAGAAAGTGAAAATACAACCTACGGAATAGGAGAAAATATTTGCAAATCAAATTCTGATGAGAGTCTACTATATGGGCTGGGGTTGGTGGCTCTCACTTGCATTCTCAGCATTTGGGAGGCCAAGGTGGGTGGATCACTTGAGGTCAGGAGTTTGAGACCAGCCTGGCCAACATGGTGAAACCCCATCTCTACTTTATATATATATATATATATATATATGGACAAAATTAGCTGGGTGTGGTGGTGAGCACCTGTAATTCCAGCTATTCAGGAGGCTGAGGCAGGATAATTGCTTGAACCCAGGAGGAGGAGGTTGCAGTGAGCTGAGATTGCTCCACTACAATCTGGCCTGGGTAATAGAGTAAGACTCTGTTGCAAAAAATAAAATAAAATAAAATAAAATAAAATAAAATAAAATAAAATAAAACTAAAAGAGTCTAGTATATGGAATACTTAAAAAATGCTTATAACTCAACAGCAGAAGGACATGAGAACCAATTAAAAAACAGGCAAAGGACTTGAATAGACATGTCTCCAAATGGTCAGTAAACATGTAAAGGTACTCAACAACATTAATCATGAGGGAACTGGAAATTGAAACTTTTATGACATCCTACTTTACACCCATGGGGATGGCTAGAATCAAAAGACAGACATCTACAGGTGCTCACAAGGATACTGCGAAAGTAGTGCCCTCATATATTAACTGATAGCAATGTGAAATGGTGCAACCACGTTGAAAAACAGTGTAACAATACTATCCAAGAGAAAAAACCATACATATTCACATACAAAGATGTATGAAATGTTCACAGTAGCATTATTATTTTTTTATTGTACTTTAGGTTCTGGGGTACATGTGCAGATCATGCAGGATTGTTGCATGGGTACATACATGGCAAAGTGCTTTGCTGCCTTCATCCCCCCATCACCTATATCTGGTATTTCTCCCCTCGTTATCCCTCCCACCCTCCCCAACCCTCGCTGTCCCTCCCCTAGACCCCCCCAACTGACCACAGTGTGTGGTGCTCCCCTCCCTGTGTCCATGTGTTCTAATTGTTCAACACCTTCCTATGAGTAATAATATGCGGTGTTTGGTTTTTTGTTCTTGTGTCAGTTTGCTGAGAATGATGGTTTCCAGATTTATCCATGTAGTATTATTTTTAACAGCCAAAAAGTGGAAAGAGTGCAAATGTCCATTAACCTACGTATGGATGAACAAAATGTGGTATATCCATACAATGCAATACTACTCAGCAATAAAAAGGAATTACTGGTACATGTTATATATACAATATAACAAAGCCAAACCTTGAAAGTATTATGCTAAGTAAAAGTCTGTCACAAAACACAACATAATATATGGTTCCATTCATGGTAATTGTCTAGAAGAGGCAAATCTATAGAGAAAGAAAGTCCTGGGTAACCATTTATCAGTTTACCAATGATTACCTAGGATTGTGAGGGGAAGAAGGGGAAGTAAAGAAGGATGGAATTGGGGTAACTGTTAATGAATATGGGTTTCTTTGGGGGGATGATAAAAATTACATCATGGTGATCTACACAACTCTATAGACCTACTAAAACCCACTGAATTGTGCACTTTAAACAAGTGTATCTCATAGTATGTAAATTATTTTAATAGGCCTATTTTAAAAGATAAATTTAAAAAGTACAAATAAGTATATGCTTGCTCTTGATTAGGCCTTCTGGTTCTTATAGAATATGTTGTCTTACCTGATAGATTCATACTTTGTGCTAAAACCCCTCTTCCTTGGCTGCAATTTCTTCTGCCAGAACTAGGCATACTTGCTCCCTCTCTCTCTCTCTCTCTCTGGGTCTACCTTACTCTTGCATTTTCTTTTGCATTGCTCCCAAGTAAGTCAAAGGAGCATGATATATAGGAGCATTTAATATAGGGCAGTAATTGGTGCCAGTTCACTGTCTTGTGGATCTTGGAAGGCTATGAAAATGCCAGGCAAGTATGATCTGTTCTTGTTTTCCTATGTGAAGATGCTACTATTCCACCTGTCAGTGAGACAAATGTTTTTTGCTGTTCTGAGAGCTTAGGTGGACTGGAATGGGGTCAACTAGGAAAATTAAACTTAACTAGTTCACCCCTTACAAAGAGCACAGATTTGCAAGATGAGTGCCTTTGTGTCTATCTCTTATTGAACGAATATTTCACAAGTTAGTAGGAGGTAGTTTTGCTATATAAACTCCTGAGTTAACATCTGGGGCTATCTTTCACCTCTGGGTCTATCACATTTGCATAATATGATTTGGAGTGAAATAGTGATACCTAAACCTAGAAGAAACTAGTGTATTTATTTAATGCTTAAGTTATCTGGGTACTCGGTTCCCTCTTTAATGGTATATGTGTACATATGCAAATACATGCAAAAACCTATGCTGAGAAAAAGTCACTTTATATGCAAAACGATAATGGTCAGTCAGGATAGAAATATCCCATTGCAGTTTATATAATGTGATTTCAACTATTTCCCACCTATGCCGTCAGTTCTGCCTGAAGAGGCAATTAATGAAGAGGGAAAGAAGCAAAAGAAGGCTGAGAGTAGAGGGGGATTTGCTTCAGAAATAGAACAGAATGGGATGACATTAGCTCAAAGTTTTTTATAGCTGAGAGCAGGATTTTAAACACTTAGGATTGTTACCCAGTTTCACAGTGGATGGTTGTGAAGGGGCAAGGGATATGAAAACATTCTAATCAGACAGAAAATAGTGATCATACTCATGAATATCAACAGTGGGAGTGAGAGTCAGCAGATTATAGAAGAATTTACTTTCTGACTCATCATAAGGCTTCCTGGTCAGTATTAGGAGAGATTCAGTCTTACTGTTGTTCCAAAGAAAGAGAATATTTATGAGTCTCCCCAAGTTTGTGAAGATAAATCAAGACCATTTATATAGCTGAAGCTATATAGAGGCAGGAAAATAATACTGTATCGGTTTATCTGGAATATTCAGAGTGACTGGGAAAGAAAGTAAGATGAGAGATAAACCAAACCTAACATCAATAGCTGTTTTAGTCAATCAATGTTTTCTCAAAAACAATCAAGATTGTAACACAGAAGACCTGGAAGATGTGTCAGTGAAATTTACTCTTCCTTGGCCTGAAGTTGCTGTCTACAGCCATACCACCCCTGAAAGCACCTGATCTTGTCTGTATTTGAAACTGCAAATTGTTTCCTTTCTCTACTTTTCCTTTCATAATTATGTACTTCACCAGATGAAAGGATGCAAAATTAATATAGCTGTAGTAAATACGAAATGTGGCTTACGGACACTGAAGTGTTCACAGCCTGTTAACTTATCAATAGCTTTGCAGGCTTCCTCTGTCTTCATCATTTCTTCTTGCCTTCTTTTACTTTCTGGATCATTATTCAAAATCTTGTTCCTCAGCCAGGTCAGATGATACACCCGAAGTCTGTTCTTACGACCTGATATATAAGAAAAGGTACATTATTTCAAGTCAGTCTTTCTTTTCATATATTAGAAGAATAAAATGTAAAGATATTTTTCCTATTACAAATATTTTTATTAACGTAAAAAGCACCTTTTAGAAAACTACATTGCATCAGAATCTCTCATTCAGGGTTTGGAAATGTAACAGACTATTTTAGTCTCTCAATTGTAAGAGACAGTCAAAGAATCTTAACTATGTGTCTCTCTGAAGTGTATCTAAACATTTTTGGGGGGACAGGTTAACCCTTACACTACACAGGCAGGATAATTACCATCCACTCATTTGTACCTTGGCTATTCACTAAGTCATGACTGCTCTGGGGTTCAGAGACCTGGAAGCTGTCCCTGGTAGTGTGTGTGTGTGAGAGGGGTGGCTGAATATTGACTGTTAAGATATTAAGGGACAGCAATATGGGTATCTTTGTATTCTGTCATTCTAGCATGCTTATAAAATAGTTGAACAGTTTCATTATATTTTCCCCCAACTCAATTTATCATTTATTAATTTCCTAATTGTAAATCCCATCAAATTCTTACAATTCGGTCAGAAAACAGGCCATGAAAATAATCACACACTGCTTTCCCCCTATATAGTGACTATAATCATTTATCTTTGTCATTTTTATGGTTTATTATTACATGATTTCTAGGCCCAACAGTATATTCTTACTTATGTGATTAATCTTTCATATGTTTTTAATGTAACAGTTTTGAAGCAGTGTTAGGGTTCAGATATCTATGTCTATGTGATATGGTCTTGAATTGTAATCTAAATTTTTGTAATCCCCATGTGTTCAGAGAGGGACCCATTGGGAGATAACTGAATCATGGGGGCGGTTACCTCCATGTTTTTCTCATGATAGTGAGTGAGTTCTCACAAAATCTAACGGTTTTATAAGGGGTTTTCCCACACTTTACTCTGCACTTCTCCTTGTTTCTGCCATGTGAAGAAGGACTTGTTTGCTTCCCCTTCTGCCATAGTTGTAAGTTTCTTGATGACTCCCAAGCCATGTGGAACTGTGAGTCAATTAAACCCCTTTCCTTTATAAATTACCCAGTCTCATGTATGTCCTTATAGCAGCATGAGAACGGACTAATACACTAGGGTTATTCTATTTCTTAAATGGTAAAATAAATTTGTGCTTTAAACTACTGAGTATCTTCTTATACTGATGTTCTCAGTACTGTTTGATGGAAAAATATTCCACATTTGAGAGAAGCCCAAACATTAGAGAAGAACACATTTTGGTTAGAGAAAGTTGGATAAAAAGTAAAGAAATGTGTTACACAAATATGTAGTCTACAAGCCACAAAATGTTTTTTTTTTTAAACTACTTCTATGTACCTTAAAATTATAAGCAAATGACTACAAAAACTATAAAACATGATTTAGAAAATCATGAAGTCTGAGCATACTTCTAAAAGAATTTATCCTCTAATTGAAGCTTAAAGCAAAGTTAATCATTTTAGGAATAATACATAATCATTAATGTGCAACATGGAAATTTGTTCACTATATATAAAACATGTTATATATACAATAAAATATATAAACTCATATAAGTGACTGTGGTTAACACCATTTTATTCCGTAGACAAACCATATTTTCTTACTTTTCCTCTCCTTTTGTCAGTCATCTTTTGCCTAGAGTCAGCTTTAATGTTGATGCTTTCCTGATACTAAGTGCTGTTTAGTAATCACGATCACTTTTAACACTCATTTACTTGTCCTCTTGTATTCTAAGGTTTAGGCTCTGACTGACCAAAACTAAGAAATTTAACTATTTGGAAAAGGTGTAAAGATCTTTGGGGGATCCATTCTTGTTACAAACTCCGTATCTGTAGGCCGTTGTGATAGAGCTATACTCAGGACAAGACTCCTTTATATCTGATTATTGTTCACTTTGTTCTTTGCTACTTCTAACACATCACAAGAAAGGGACATGATGGATGTTGATCCAGTCCTGTGCATGAGTGGATGAAAATTGGAGATCTGAATTTGTAGGAGGCTGCACTGGAGAGAACAACATATAAGGATGCAAATGGTGTGGTTTTTCTTATCAGTAACTTAGGCTAGGTATTTTACAATTAAAGGAAGTTACTTTAAATTGTAAATAAATAAGAGGTTACAAGTAGGAAAGTCTGGTGTCCCAATTAAAGGTTATATTTAAAGTGTTTTTCTATGAACACTTTCACCGAGAAAGTCTTTAACCTAGTTTGCAGCCTAATTAATCTACATAATTACTCAGCTAATTTTAGTTCTTAAACAAACCTGAGATGGTAATCAGCAAATTGAGTGGCTCTAAGACTTGAATCTGGCGGAATGGTCTTCGCCTTATAAGTTTAGTAATGTCAGCCTTTCCACTTCTGTCCATCAGATATAGATTAGATCGGGTTCCCAACAGCAAATTGACTCCTGTTCATATACAAAAAGAGCTATATTAATTCAGATTATTTTTCATAATTGCATCAATATTACTATTTTTGCTATTCCAGTGTGTTGATCTATGTAAAGATGACTTATCAGTTTAGGCTATATTGACCTCATACTGTGTAACTATGTACTCTCTATCAACAGAACAAATTTCAATGAAATACATAAAAATATAGAAGATAATTCCCTCTGGCAATATTCCACTGGCTGGTGTCTGATATGCCATCTCACAAATGGAAATTTATGGATATCTTAGCACCCTTTAGTAGTGTTCTAAACTTTATCAAAATCAATCAACCTTTTTGAAAATTACCATTAAACATTCTTAGTCTACCACATACAAAGTGTTCAATTCAGCTCATTTCTCATTTGTAAACATAAGTGAATGTTTGAATGCTTTAAAAATAATTATATGTAAATAATTGTTTTTAAATTGAATGATTCTGTGTTCATGCATATATTACAAATTTACCATCGCCAAATGCCTGCGAAATTAGCTCTTACCCTCATGTATCTGAATTTCTACACTCTCTTTTATTTGTTGACTGGCTCTATTTGTTCAAATTTAAGCATTGTTTAAAAACCAAATAAGAGGACTGAAATAGAAGACAGAACTAAAGTTAAATTGTACTTCGAACTACTGTGGGAGCTTTTCACTATAAAATGACATAGGAGATAACCAGCCAAGTAATATAACAAGATAAAATTTCACAGTCCTCCTTGCACTTTGGAGCATACCTATGCTCCATGAGCATAGGAGAAAACTTGAGCAATTTTGCCTTCATTCTCTTACTCTATCCTTAACCAGTTCTCTAACTCATGACCAGTGGCATATTTAGGGGCTGCATCTTCTTCTCACAGGAGAATCAGAGAAGTAGGAAGAAGTGTAGTCAATTTTTACTATAATATTTTATTTTTCAAAATACAAAATTATGGGTTATAAAAATGAGTTATTAGACATTATCTACATTTCTGGGTAGTTACCAGACTGAAACGTTCATGCTATCTTGTTGTTTGAGACACTACATTAGCAGAACTTTGAGATGACTTTTTTCTAAGTTCTTTAATCCATATAATTACAATGTTTGCCACCCTTTTCTATTTTTAATTTTTTTTAATTTTTTTTTTTACCCAGGCTGGAGTGCAATGGCGCAATCTCGGCTCACCACAACCTCCGCCTCCTGGGTTCAGGCAATTCTCCTGCCTCAGCCTCCTGAGTAGCTGGGATTACAGGCNCGGCTCACCGCAACCTCCGCCTCCTGGGTTCAGGCAATTCTCCTGCCTCAGCCTCCTGAGTAGCTGGGATTACAGGCACGCACCACCATGCCCAGCTAATTTTTTGTATTTTTAGGAGAGGCGGGGTTTCACCGTGTTGACCAGGATGGTCTCGATCTCTTGACCTCATGATCCACCCGCCTCGGCCTCCCAAAGTGCTGGGATTACAGGCTTGAGCCACCGCGCCCGGCCCATATTTTTAATTTTAAACCCTGTTCTTTGTTCAATCATACATTAAGCAAAATTTATGAAATTGCAAGACAGAGGTTGACATTTACTTTGGATTTCTCCCTTCCTTGCATTCATTTATTCTGTTTCATTTATGATTCAGTTTGGCTTGAGGTAAAATATTGTCTCAGCATTTCCAAAGTGGTTATAATTTTTCTGAATCAAAGGATTTTAAAAAGTCTATCGAGTTAAGACATTATAGACGGAACTTTCTCTGCAAATTCCCAAGCCTTTCTATAAACATGATCCTGCAGAAATCTTTCTTGAAATATCTCATAAAGTATCATATGTTAGGAATATGAATCTTAAATTTTCAAAAAATCACAACCTAGTCCAACTGTATATTTTATCCAAGTTAACTCAGGTTTAAAAAAAAAATACAAAGGCGGGGGCCATCAATTCAAAAATCAAACTGCACTGAGTGAAAAAAAAAAATCAACAAAACCAGTTCTGAGCAAATTACTATAAATTTATTGTAATGGTTTGGTAAGAGTAAACAAATATTTTATGTCTATTATTTTTACCGGTTCGAAACATGAAAACAAAACAAAACAAAACAAACTCACCCCACAAAGAACCACAGCAGATCTCAGAAGTGAACTCCTTTTCATACATGTGGATTAGTGGTTTTTTACATGCAGGAGAGACATAGAGTGGGTTAACATTGACTTCAGAGGATTGCTTAGGTGATTCCTCAGGTACTTCTACGAATCCAGCATATACTGCAAAGATGTAAGGGGAAGATAATAAGAAAAATTACTAGCTCTGTGCCTGATAGAGTTATAGAAAAAAAAATTTAAAAAGAAAAATCTGGGCTAGGCATGGTGGCTCACACCTGTTATCCTAGCACTTTGGGAGGCTGAGGTAGGGCATCACCTGAGGTTGGGAGTTAGAGACCAGCCTGACCAACACGGAGAAACCCCACCTCTACTAAAAATACAAAATTGGCTGGGCATGGTGGCTCATGCCTGTAATCCAAGCTACTCAGGAGGTTGAGGCAGGAAAAGTGCTTGAACCCAGGAGGTGGAGGTTGCCATGAGCCAACATCGAGATTATACCATTGCACTTCAGCCTGGGCAACAAGAGCAAAACTCTGTCTCAAAAATAAACAAACAAATAAATAAATCTGCACCTGATGGAGTTACAGAAAAAAATTTAAAATTATTCATCTATACAGCTTATATGCTACAATGTTTCTACAAATGAGACACGACTTAGCCAAATTTATTTTCTTTGGCCAGGTGTGGCGGCTCACGCCTGTAATCCAAGCACTTGGGAGGCCAAGGTGGAGGATCATTAAGAAACAGAGGTTGAGGATACAGCGAACCATGATCATGTCACTGTAATCCAGCCTAAATGACAGAGCAAGATCTTGTTGCAAAATGAAAACAAATTTCTTTCTTTTTATTGTATTTTATTTTTTACTGGAAGTATAGTTTCAGTAACTCTGAAACCATCAGCTAACACAAATCGTGATGGCTAAAATACATTGTTGAACACGAATATATTTTAAGTTATTGTAATTAGAACACACACACAAATCTAGGTAAGGGATTCAATTTCTCAATTGTAGCTCAAATTTAAGTACCATAAAGATTCAGTGAAGAATAGATGTTTTAAAAGCATATATCAACCTGAATTTATTTCAACTGAATGTCAGAATAATTTGATTCCTAACAGATCATAAAGCACTGGTTAAACACTATTTAATATCTGAACAGATAACAGCATTTAGAGATTATATTAAACATACTCACAGATGGCACTGGCAAAATCAGCATGAGTAGACCTCCCAGAACCTTTGGAAGGAGAAGAGTGACTGGCAGAAAAATCTGATTGTGTTGATGATTCTGATATGTCTTTATTGTCATTCTCATCATCAGGTGCTGACGGTGCAGCACCTGAATCAATGGCATTTGAGGCCTCATTTCCACCACCTGGCTCCTAAAAGAAGTCCAAAACCAATTTTTATTTTATTAGTACGTTAACAGTGGGATAAATATGCCTAGTGAGGGGTTGTTTGAAAAACAGAATGCAAGATCTAGAACATCTGCATTCTTATAAAATCCACATTTACTAGAAAAACTCAACAATGTTATCAGAAGAGAGAAAACTAACCTATTGTTGAGATGACCGAAATTAGAGGGGAAATTCAAGGAGCTATAGGTTCCCAGCTATACAATTTGGGACCTAATATTTGTGGAATTTTTACCATGTATCAGCTACTGTGCTAGGCATCATATTTAGGTATCTTTGTGAATCCTTACCATAGCCCAACAAGTAACTATAATTATCTCCAATTTACTTATACAAATTTAAAATTTAGAGATGGTAAATAACTTATTCAGTCATAGTGCTAGTAAGTAGGGGAAGTAGACTTTGAAACCAAAGTCTGTTTGATTCCAAAGCATACATTCAGCTGTGTCATGCCAAATAGCCTCTTAAGAAAATGTAAAGCACAGTGTGGGGGTGTCTGTTCCACTGCTATATGGTAACTTCACAAAACTGAAAGAATGAAAAACCTGCAGAAATAATTTTCAAATGATAAAGAAAATGAAGGAAAATCAACCAACACAAATTCGGGAGTGTAAACATGCATCACTGAACAGGTAGCTGGCTTCCATTAACTTACAAAGAAGACACTCAAGGATAAAAGCCACAAAATTTGATAATTTATGTGGCATGCTATGTCTTGTGGGAAAATATGTGAACTATTGTTGGTAAGTCCTTCTGTTGATAAGCTCGTTCTTGTGTCTAAACAGTGATTCTTGGCACTGAGAAAGTTGTGCTATTCTGTAAAAGACTGATTTTTATGACCTTTTCAACCACAAAAACATGGTATGACACCATGTCCTTTCTAAGTTGAAATGAAAGAAAGATCCACTTCCTCTATAGATTTCCCAAACATTCCTTAAGGTAACTGGAGATAACCAGGGGTGCTATGAAACTTATGTTGGAACATCCTGTTTTAATGTCTTTAATTTAGATAGACAGACAGATAGATAGATAGATAGATAGATAGATAGATAGATAGATAATAAGCAGACATAGATATTTTCCCACTGACACTGCTTTCCCATTAGAAACCATGGAGGGAACTTCCTTACTTCCTTTTTATTAATTTGTTTTCATCCTTTATTGATTTATTCCATAATTACTGTATGCTTATCATATGTCATGTCCTAGGTTACACACTGAAGTTGGGTGAGTTGGTAGACAAATAATCAAGGAAGGATTAAATGTAATTCTTTCCTTTTAAGAGTTCACAATATAGTGTGAAAGCAAAAAATAAAATAACAATACCATAAGTACTAAAATGGAATTATGGGCAAAAGGTTTGCAAGCACAGAGGAAGGGGTATATAATTCTGTCTTGGGAGGTAAAGGATTATATTGATTTGGCCCATGAAGGATTAGTAATTCACCAAACAGAGAAGAAGTAAGAGGGCAGCTTTCCATAGGAAACAGCTTGCACAGGAGCACTGACTCATGAAAGAGCATGGCATCTCCAAAGCCAGTTTGTGTGACAGGAACATAGGCCAGGGGAGTAGATTGGCATAATTTTTCTTCTGTCTGGAGTTCCAGGTGCGTTTTCAGATATCCAGACACTCCCCATTTCTCAAGAATGAGTTCAAATATCACATGGTCCAGGAAATATTCTCTGTGATAATTCCTACTAATGTAGCATCTATGAACTACTTGAGTATTTTAAATCTATCTATAAAGTCGATAAATGTTTTGTGAATGACAAAATCATTGTCTAAACACAGCATATTACTTGAATTAAAAATTTATATGTCAACAGTTGCTCAAGAAGTTAAGCATAGACTTATTACATGATATAGCAATGCCACTCTTAGCTATATACCCCCCCCAAAACCTGAAAGCAGGAACCCAAACAGATACTTGTACATCAATGCTCCCAGGAGCACTATTCACAATAACCAAAAGGTGGAAACAACTCAAGTGTCCATCAATAGATGAATGGATAAACAAAATATGATATATGCGCAAGACAAAATACTATTCAGACTTGAAGAGGAATGAAATTCTGATAAACGCTACAACATGAATAAACTCTGAAAACCTAAAAAGTGAAACAAGCCAGACACAAAAGGACAAATACTTTATGATTCCACTTATATAAGCTACCAAAGAAAAAAGTAGAATAGAGGTTATCAGGGGTTGGGGGAGAGGGAAACCAATACTTAATTGTTTAATTTGTTTAGCATGGTAAAAAAAAGTTCTGGAAATGGATAGTGGTGACAATCCCACAACATTCTGAATGTAATAACTGATTTGTACACTTAAAAATGGTCAAAATGGTAAATTTTATGATATGTATATTTTACCACAATCAAAAAAATATTCCCAGAAAAAATTGGCTCTGGTTGGAGTGATGTCAGTAAGATAGCTTATTGGTGGCACCTGGTGCTTGTCCCCTTCACAAAAAAGGACAAAGGGAATGAATAAACAATTAGAATTCAACTGGTGTGTCTGAGGGAGAGTGCTGGAGTGAAGCGATGGGGTGGTGAGGTCACTGTGCAGCATGGAATATCAAAATGGCAGGAAAGAGAGGGAAGTAGGGTACTCTGCTTCTGCTGCCCCATCTCCCCTACCATGATCAGCTCAGAGCCAGGAAGGAATTCTTATTGAGAAAAGATAAGCAGAAGACTGTCATTAGCCCCAGTTGCCACCACAGAGAATTCTAGTACTTACTACAGGATAGTCTCATAGTCCTCACAAGCCCTAAGCTAAGTTTGGGAAGGTGCCTGAAATTCTTGTGGCTGCATTGCTCCAGATAAGCAGCAAAAGTTGTGTATTTTCCACCAACTCATGACCTAAGCTGCTGCAGCCTGGTGTCATCTTGAATCTAGAGTCATTGCTGAAATGCACTATGCTCTGGGGGCCAGTAACCACTGTGCCTCTCCAGCCTTGTGCCTCCTCTGTAATTTCACCAAGCCCCCATTGATGGCTGAAATGCTCTGATCCTGACTGCTCAGATCTTGGGCCCAGGAAAGACCACCCATAACTCCAGTACTGCAGTGGTGAAGCCAACTCTAGGCTGGCTTAACTGCTGTGCACTTGCATCCTTGGTCAAAGAAACAGCTCAGTAGCCCTGATCACAGAAAGCCAGACCCCTAAGCCAGCTGTCCCAAACTGTGTGACCACACCCTTGCCCATAGAAGTAGTCTGGTAACCCAATCCTGGAGAGAAAATTCCTGATCCACCCAATCCACTGCATGTACACTTGTGCCTCTGGCCTGAGAAACAGCCTGGCAAGCCCACCTCTGTCAAAGATGTGCCACCTCTGCCATAAACTTTTGCAGCCTGGGCCACTGAGGTACTAGCAAACATTGCTAGTGTAGATTACAGCATAGAGACCATGCTGCTGTATCTACCCAGAGCCAAAGTCAATGCACCCCACCCAACCAACACCCCAGGACCCATCTATAGTACTAAGTCTTTCCTTATGAAAGCCACTCCATAACATTATAAGAAGTGATTATTCCACCAGATGCACAGATAACAACACAAGGATCCAAGAAATATTAACACATAAGGAAACATGATACCTTCAAACTGAACATAAGAAGTCTCCAGTAGCAGACCCAACAGAAAAGAAAATGTGAAGTGCCAGAAAAAGAATTCATAATAATGATATTAAGGAAACTCAACAAGATACAAGAGAATACAGATAGACAAATCAATGAAATTTTTTTTAAAAAATCACGATCTGAATGAGAAATTTAATAAAGGAATAGGTATCATTTAAAAAGAACCAAACAGAAACATTGAAGATAAAGAATTCAATGAGTAAAATTAAGAAAAAAATACAATACGGAGCTTCAACAGCTGACTATACCAAGCAGAATAAAGGATTTCTGAACTTGAAGACAGGTCTTTTGAAATGACCCAGGCAGACAAGAAAAAAGGAGAAAAATAAATAAATAAAGAGAGCCAATAAAACTTATGGGACAACATAAAGAGGATGTATTGTTGAATTATGGGGATTCCAGAAAGATGAAAATATATAGAAAATTATTTAATGACATAATAGTTGAAAACTTCTCAAGTCTTGGGAGAGATATGAACATCCAGATTAAGGAAGCTCAAAAGTTTTGAAATACATTCAACTCAAAAAGGTCCTCTCAAAATAAAATTACAGTGAAACTGTCAAAAGTCAGTGACAAGGAGAGAATACTAAAACAGCAAAAGAAGAGTCTCATCACATATAAGGAAATCCTCATTGGACTAATAACAGATTTCTGAACAGAAACCTTACAGGCCAGGAGAGAATAGGATGATATATTCAAAGTGCTGAGAAAACAAAAACAAAAACAACAATAAACTGTCACCAAAGAATACTATACTCAGCAAACCTATCCTTCAAAAANAAAAAAAAAAAAAAAAAAAAAAAAAAAAAAAAAAAAAAAAAAAAAAAAAAAAAAAAAAAAAAAAAAAAAAAAAAAAAAAACCAAAAAACCAATCCTGCTAGCACAAAATAGTATCCCCAGAAAAGCAATCCTTCAGAAATAAAGGATAACTAGGCCGGGCATGGTAGTTCACACCTGTAATGCTAGCACTTTGGGAGGCTGAGGTGGGCGGATCACGAGGTCAGGAGTTCAAGACCAACCTGAGCAACATGGTGAAACCCTGCCTCTACTAAAAATACAAAAATTAGTCAGGCATGGTAGTACATGCCTGTAATCCCAGCTACTCAAGAGGCTGAAGCAGGAGAATTGCCTGAACCCAGGAGGCAGAGGCTTCAGTGAGCCGAGATCACACCATGGCACTCCAGTCTGGGTGACAGAGCAAGAGACTCTGTCTCAAATAAATAAATGAATAAATAAGAAATAAAGCCTCTTCTACATAAGTAAAAAGTAAGGAAATTCATCACTAGACAGGTCTTATAAGAAATGCTTAAGGGAGTCCTACATGTGAAAGAAAAAAGACAATAACTACTATAATGAAAACATGAAATTATAAAACTGGTAAAGCAGGTACAGAAAGGTGAAAGAGAAAGGAATCAAACCTTATCACTACAAAAGATTACCTAACCACAAAGTTTAACAAAAAAAAAAAAAAAAAAAAAAAAAAAAAAAAAGAAAAAAAAAGGGGATACACAAAACAATCAGAAACAATTAACAAAATGACAGGAGTAAGTGTTAACCTATCAATAATAAACTTGACAGTAAACAGACAAAATTCTGTAATTAAACTTATAGAATAGCAGAATGGCTTAAAAAGAAATGCCAGATATAGGTGACGGGCAGATGGAGGCAGCAAACCACCTTGCCATGTATGTATCCATGCAACAACCTTGCATGATCTTCACATGTACCTCAGAACCTAAAGTGTAATTTTAAAATAAATAAATAAATAAAAATAAAACAAAGAAAACTACAAGCCAATATCTCTGATGAAGATAGATGCAAAAATGCTGAACAAAATACTAGCAAACTGAATTCAATACCACATCAAAAATATTATACACCATGATTGAGTGGGATTTATACCAGGGATACATGGGAGATTCAACATATGCAAATCAATAAACATGATACACCACATCAAAGGAATCAAAGACAAAAATTATATGATCATGTCAAAAGATACCAAAAAAGCATCTGAAAGGTCAGGAGCAGTGGCTCATGCCTGCAATCCCAGCACTTTGGGAGGCTGAGGAGGGTGGATCAGAAGTTCAATAGATAGAGACCATTTTGGCCAACATGGTGAAACTCCATCTCTACTAAAAATACAAAACTTAGCTGGGCGTGGTGGCACATGCCTGTAGTCCCAGCTACTTGGGAGGCTGAGGCAGGAGAATCGCTTAAACCCGGGAGGCCAAGGTTGCTGTGAGCCAAGATCACACCACTGCACCCCAGCCTGGGTGACAGAGCAAGAGACTCTATCTCAATAAAAAAAAGAAAAAAAAAAGCATTTGATAAAATTTTACATTCCTTCATGATAAAAACTCTCCACACTTTAGGTATGGAAGTAACATACCTCAAAACAAATAAAGACCATATATGAAAATCCCACAGCTAAGATCACACTGATTGGGAGAAAGCTGAAGTCTTTCCTCTAAGAACTGGAATAAGACAAAAAATTCCCACTTACACCACTCTTATTCAACTGAATTCTGAAAGTCTTAATCAGATCAATTCTGCAAGAGAAGGAAATAGAAGACATCCAAATTGGAAATGAGGAAGTCAGATTGTGTCTGTTTACACATGACAGGATCTTATAAATAGACAAACCCTTGACACTACCAAAAATTCTTAGAATTGATAAACAAATTTAGTAAATTTGCAGGATATAAAATCAGCATAGAAAAATCTGTAGCATTTGTATATACCAACAACAACCTGGCAGAGAAAGAAATCGCAAAAGCAATCCCATATACAACGGCTACAATATAAAATATTTGGAAATATATTTAACCAATGAGGTTAAATATCTCTATAAGAAAAACTGTAAAACATTAATGAAGGAAACTGAAAAGGATGCACACACACACAAAAGGAGAAGCACCCTATGCTTATGGACTAGAATAATTAACATTGCTGAAATGACCCTACTATCCAAAGCAATATGCAGATTCTATGCAATCCTTATGAAAATATAAATGACATTCTTCACAGAAATAGGAAAACAAATTCTAAAATTTGCATGGAACCAAAAAAGACCCAGAATAGCTCAAGCAATCCTGAGGAAAAAGAATAATACTGGAGGCATCACAATATCAGATTTCAAAATATACTACAAAACCACAGCAAACAAAAAACAGACACACATACCAATGGAAGAGTATAGAGGACCCATAAACAAATCCACATATTTATTTATCTCATTGTGGTTGATTTTTGATAAAGGCATCAAGAATATTCATTGGGAACAAAACAACGTCTTCAATAAATGGTGCTGGGAGAACTAAATATCCATATACAAAAGACTAAAACTAGACCCCTATTTCTCACCTTATACAAAAATCAACTCAAAATAGATTAGATGTAAATGTAAGACCTGAAACTACAAAATTACTAGAAAATATAAGGAAATGCTTCCAGATGTTGGTTTTGGAAAAAAATTAAGACTAGGACCTCAAAAGCACAGGCAACAAAAGCAAAAATAGACAAATAGAATTATATCATACTAAAAAGCTTCTGCACATAAAAGGAAATGATCAACAAAGTGAAGAAACAACCTGAAGAATGAGAGAAAATATTTGCAAACTATTCATCTGACAAGGGATTAAAATCCAGAATGTAAGAAACTCAAACAACTCAACAGAAAAAAAGGAAATAATCCAATTAAAATGGGCAAATGATTTGAATAAACATTTCTCGAAAGAAGACATACAGATGACCAACAAATCTAGGAAAACATTTTCAACATAATTAATCATTGGGAAATGCAAATCAGAACCCCAATAAGACATCATCTCATCCTAGTTAGAATGGTTATTATCAAAAGACAAAGAATAAATGTGGGTGAAGATGTGGAGAAAAGGAAACTCTTATATGCCATTGGTGGGAATGTAAACTACTACACCAATAATGGAGAATGGCACTGTGGTTCTTCATAAAACTACAAATAGAACTACCATATGATCCAATAATTTCACTACTGGGTACATATCTCAAAAAAAGAGGAAATCAGTATATCAAAGGGCTATCAGCACCTCCATATTTACTGCAGCACTAATCACAATAGCCAAAAAAGGAATCAGCCTAAGTATCCATTAAGAGATGAATTGATAGAGAAAATGTGACATATATACAGAATGAAATGTTATTTAGACATCAAAAGAATGAAATCTTGTGATTTGCAGCAACATGGATGAACCTGTACTCAGTGTTATGTTAAGTGAAATAAACCAGGAACAGAAAGATAAAAACTGCATATTCTTACTCATATGCAAATGCTAAAAAAATCGATTTCATATAAGTAGAGAGTAAAATAGTGGTTTCTAGACACTGGGAAGAGGAGTAACAGAGAGCAATAGAAAGGCTGGTTAAAGGATCCAAATTCATGACTAGACAGGAGATATAAGTTCCAATATCTATAGCACTGTAGGGTAACTATAATTAACAATAATTTATTATATATTTTTAAATAGCTAGAAGTGAGGATATTGATTGTTTCCAACACAAAAAAATGATGAATGTTTCAGTTGATGGGCATGCTAAATACCCTGATATTATCACTACAAATTGGATATGTTAAAATATCATTCTGTACCCCATAAACATATACAATTATGTGTCAATTAATTTTTAAAATACTTTTTAAAGTGTGTGTCAAGAGACACTACCCCAAATATGTTATGTGAGTAATAAAGGCAAACAAATAAGAGATCTTTGACTTTGGAAGTAAATATAGACTCTGCAAATTAGTAGTAATAAGGATCTACCCACGAACCTATAATTAAAAATGTTTAAGGCTTTTGGGTATATGATTAAAATCTATTTGGAATGGCTGGAAATGCTATATGTCCCATGAAGAAACAAATTTGCAATGAGAGGAGTTCAATCTGCTTTTCAAATGGTGCATTTACCTCCTGTAGATATTCAAAGTCCTGAAATGCAGGTCTCTTCAATCCTGGGCCGTCTGTTTCTGAGCAATTTTCTTTTTCATTGAGTCCAAGGGCTCCGCTGTCTTCACTGGTTCGAATGACTCCCTTACCTCCATCACCCCCACTGTCCCTTCTTTCACTGCTTATATTGGCTGCATGATCTTCCTGATCTCCAGTGGCTGCATTGTCCTCACTGGCTGCACTTCCTTCATGGCTGCTATTGACACCATGTCTTCCATAGCCTCTGTAGGCCTCTTCTTTTCCATTACTTCCATCATAACCACCTGGCTTGCAGCTTCCATCTCTGCCATAGCTTGCCCTGATAACAAGCTCCAATTAATGAAGGAAAGCCACGTAATAAAAATACATTTGAAAGTTAGCAAATAAAGCAGAATTGGGATGTGTCTTATTTAGATCTACCATGCCCAGTTTTGTCTTTGCTCTATGTGAACACTACTGGTATGATACAGACAAGAAAAATGGCCCTATGTCCTGTCAGTCTTACATAATGAATTAATGTCATAGCCACCACCAATTTCCCAACGCATTTGAATGGCAGAGGGAAGAGAACTTGTATTTTTTCTTAGGTATATGTATTAGGCTAGCAGCAAGAATATGTAGTTTTTTCTTAAATATATACTATTTCATGTACTAGCAACCTCACAGATACATGAGTGATTAACCCTGTATTTTTAGCTCAATCACAACATGATTAATTCTTCTTGCAATATATCTAGTTTGTGTTCATTTTAACATCTACCTTGTTTTTCTAACATGTGTACTGACTGCTTTGCTACAGAACTCCATTGGTCTACTGTTTCCACCAAGGAAGTTCAGCAATACAGAACTCATATCTTGTAGAACTAAGTCATTTAGTTAATTACTAAAAATACTAAGCTTCACAAAATGTCTCAGTGCTCTCTTTTTGCATAGGAAACAAAGTTAAACATATGTGCCTGTAGTAAACTTATTTCGTAATGGAATTCTTGACAAATGTTTTAGTTGGAAAAAAATCAAAAGAGCTCTTGGTAATTTCTCCACTAATTAAACAGAAAAAGATCATCTTAAATTTATTTATTTATTTATTTATTTTTTTTTTTTTTTTTTTTTTTTTTTTTTTTTCTTTTTTTTGAGACGGAGTTTCACTCTTGTTACCCAGGCTGGAGTGCAATGGCGCGATCTCGGCTCACCGCAACCTCCGCCTCCTGGGTTCAGGCAATTCTCCTGCCTCAGCCTCCTGAGTAGCTGGGATTACAGGCACGCACCACCATGCCCAGCTAATTTTTTGTATTTTTGGTAGAGACGGGGTTTCACCATGTTGACCAGGATGGTCTCGATCTCTTGACCTTGTGATCCACCCGCCTCGGCCTCCCAAAGTGCTGGGATTACAGGCTTGAGCCACCGCGCCCGGCCTCATCTTAAATTTATTATATACATGGCGATATTGCAAAAGTTTGAGAAATGCATAGCTATGTTTGCAAATACCTAGACTTCACCTTAGGTTTATTAAGTTACACACTTCCTCTGTTGTCCTTTCTCATACTCAGTATGATTTTATAGAGTAGGATGATTCAGTGGCAGGAATTTTAACAGAAACATTCAGGCGATTCCAGTTATAAAGAAACCAATAAATACTTGAATGCTTACTTTAAAATATACAAATGACACAAAATTAGGTGTTCTGCATTAGAATAATTTAAAATACGTTATTGACAATCAAACCATTTACTAAAATGCAAGTGAAATTAAGTCACTCTCTTGATAATTTTTGAAAATAAATCAAAGATGCAAATATTTCTGAAGTTATAAAACATGGAGAGTATAAGTAATTCAAAAAGACCAACCTTGGACAACGAGGTGCCTTATGATAATTATCATTTACATCATCAACAGACTTATTGTTGTCATCATCATGGTCTTCATAAACATCATTAGCCTGATCAACCTGGTTATCTGAGTCATCATTGCCATTGGCATGATCATAGGTATATTCATAAGCATCATTAGGCTCATGCTCATCATCACCATCAGTACCAGCACCGACATCATACAGTTCAACATAATCACCATCCTCTTCATGTGGCTGACTGATGGGTGCAGGAGTTAACCAGTCATTCCGGAAGATTTCAGAGAGTGCATTATAGCCTACCCATTCATTTGTCAAGTATACAGGGGGTGATATTTTTCCTACTTTAAATCCATCTGGAACCTGTGTGCACAAGAAAGGTTAACGTAGTCTCTAGCAGCCTTTCATTTTCTTCTAGATTTGAAAGTTTCCAAGCTGACAATATTTTAAAATATATTTTAAATTGAAGCGAGGATGTTCACTCACTATATAGAGCCAAAGCTTTAGTGAGGATGAGATGTCAAAACCCAAACACCAGACTGTGATTATTAGTAGCCTTTCTGGATCAGATAGGCCAAATTTACTCACTTTAAAAAAATTACCCATACTTGTCTGCTCAAGAGTAGACATTTACTTTTGATGCTGGAGACAACAGGTGATTTGATGCTCTTTAAATATGGTAACTTTTCCCTTTTGTTTTATCTCCTGACGTTCGAATTAACACACAGCTCTTGAAATTGATATGTTAATTTCCCAGCTCTGGTTTTATGTGCCATAGGTTGTCTTAAAGTATCGCAAACACTTCCAAAGAGCAAATTAATCTAAATCCATCTTTTAAGTATGATGGGTGTCATTTAACAACTTTTGGGCAATCTGGAAGGGATATGTGTATAGTAGCATAGAGGTAATTACAAAAGTGAAATAGAATGATCTGAAACCACATTGCATTAGGACAATTTAAAATCTGCATTACAACAATTTAAACATGTTCACAAAGAGCTAGAAGACTTTTTATTTATGCAATCAGAGGACACTCTATTTTTTATTAAATGTTTTATTTGTATACATTGCCTCATCATTCAAGGAATGCTATTAAAAGTTGGACATCTAACCTGTACACCTCAATCTGAGATTAGCTTTTACAAATAACTCTTTATCACTACTCTCCCAGGTGTGTTCTAACTGACACAAGAATGTGAAAATAAAATATTCTCTGGTTAAGTGTTTTCCCATTTCAATTTTAATTTTTAGATTTTGTGTTCTATATATTCACAAGGCAATGAGAATCTATCTGTAAAATAATAATTTAAAAAACTAAACTATTTAACCATCCCTCCTTAAGTAAAGATGAGAATGTGTAAGTCAAAACAAATGAAACATCAAAAATAATAGATATTAATGTATTAAGATGGAAACTTACATGGATGTCAACCAGCAACTTCTGATCAATAGTAGAATAAGGTGGTGATGACTGGGACCTCCTTCCAGTCACAGGACTCTCTTCTTCAGAAGAAGATTCTATGGAATGCCAAAAACACATTAGCAACAATAGTGACTATAGCCATTGCCTTCATTTGTATAGTGTATCAGGTAAATCCCTTGTTTCTCTTGTCCTTTTTGTGATTCCATTCAGAAAACATCACCTGATACATTCTCATGAGGCCAGGATTGTAAATTCTCTTTTCAGGGGGTTATTAGCAGGTTCAAGTTTTCTTCCATCTATAGACCTACATGGCTGCTCTGTTTTCAATATTAAGTGTACACTTGACAAATATCTCTATCTATGTAAGAAGATACATTGTACGACTGATAGCCAGGTAGATACATTAAAAAAAGAAGAATGCATCAAGAATAGGAAGGGCTGGGAGTATCAGTGGCCTCATATTCTGACCAGTAGAAAAAAAGACTGCCAGTGTATTTATTAGAAGATGATAGACTAGCCAAAACCCTCAAGAGGAGAGTTCATTCTTCAATCTCAACCCCCACAAATTCTCTCCCAATGATATATCCACATGTATTTCAATACAGTTGAGGAGTGAACCACTGAAAAGAGATAACACTTTCCCCTCTCTATAAAGCTGGGAACATTTTTATAGTGGCAATGTACAACAAAACTTTCTGCAGTGACAGAAATTTTCTGTATCTGCACTGTCCATTAACACGAGTCATTAGTCACAAATGACTACAGAGCATTTGAAATGTGGCCAGTATGCCTGAGAAGCTAACTTTTAAATGTTATTTTTTATTTTTTTTTTAAATTTTAATAGCTACATGTGGCTAGTTGCTACCACATTGAACAGCTCAATTCTATAGTGTAAATATTTCTATTCAAAATACAAATATATCTGACTTGGAGATTAGCTTTTAATATTGCGTTGTGGCATGGTAAATAACCCCTGTGATTAAAATCCAGTGAGAATATTTAACAGGCTTAAAATTCAGGTCTGGGTGGGTGTACTTAGAAAAAGCTTCACTAAGAGGAAATTCAGGTCCTTGTTTATTGTTTTTGTGTGCTTAGATTTTCAAGATAAATACTATTGCTCCTCTTATTTTCAGTCTTGGTATACAAAGCCAAAGTATAGATACTGTAGTTCCAAAATACATATATTTTCAAATACTGTTGTCTTATGATAAAATTACACTGAACACATGCTACAATTTGTGTTCCCATATTCTGTCATTATTGTATTTCTGATTTTTTTTTTTTTTTTTTCAGGAAACCTTTTTTTTTTATGTCTTTTGGTATGTTAGTAGACCAAATAAGTTCAAGTGAGTGTACTGAGATTTTCAGACAAATTTGTAGTAAGGTGCTCTGAGACTTCCTCCATGATGAGGCATGTAATCTCATGGGAATATCAAACATGTAATCTCATGGGAATATCAAATGTTCTATGTAGCATACAGAATAAAATAACAGAATTTTGGAGCTGAAAAGATGTTTAGCTATTATCTGCACAGATGCCTTCTCCCTTCTATCAATGTTATGACTGCTTTGGGATCTAATCCAGAATTTCCTTATTTCAAAAATGCCACATGAATAAACCTCAAAATTTTAGTTATTTGCCCAGTATTAGCAAAATTAGCCCTAGTCAAGCCAGAAAGAAAAGACTCTGAGGAAAAATTTTTAAGAATTTACTCTTCACTCAGGCTTATCTAATTTTCACAACATAGTACTTGTATATGAGCGGACAGTGCTATTTAAAAGAATTCTGCCATTATCTGAGTCACTTAAGAAGAAAAAAATGTGTTTTTAAGTTTAGATCTTCAAGTATTTGCTTTTCAAAAAGTGAAGTATATCTGTATCATTATTATTAACATTTTAATAAAATCAGTATGCCACATTTTTACATATGACTCAGAGACTCAATCAGCCAATTTTCCCTTGCTTAACTTACCTGGATTACTTAAAACTGGAAAATGCCAGATTGCATGATCCATGGCACAACTTTTGGCTTTGTTTATAGTAATATATGACAAATTTATAATTGATTTAAACAGTTTTTTGCACTGTTCTATTTATGCCATATGGCTCTCCTACATACACTACTGTTTTTGCTATATGTATCCNTAAAATACTTGTTTGAAATTCATATCACAACTTTTGAAAGTTATTTTCTATGATTTGATTGATTGTTCATGTATTTTAAGTAAAACCATCACTCTGTAACATTTAGGGATATTTATGAGATATTGTCCTATTTTGGAGAAGTGAAGTAACCAATTGATAAGTGAAACACATTCAGAAGTCCTCCATACAATGTTCTAATTGCTACCTATATATTTTAGCTTGTTGGAGAGGCCTCTCTCAAGTTCCTTTACCATATTTTTCATACGTGGTATAGAAACTTAATAAAGTTAACTCTAACCACCTCCCTTAGATGCATTCCCAACTACTACCCAATGAAAAGGTGAATCTTCAGGAACATTTTTTTCCATTTCTCAAAGGCCACCACTGACCACCCAATTGCCAAATACAGTGGCTTTCTGGTCCTAATCCTACTTGGCCTCCCTAACACTTTTTATTCAGTGCTTCTTGAAATTCTTCTTTCTTAACTTCTGAAATATAAGTTGTTAAACAATAGCTCTGTGTTTTGCCTGCTGAAATTTCGTGCTTTGAATCACCTGACGCTGCCGGCCAATTTTGACGATTTTGCGAACTCCTTTGTCTGATGTCAATGGGCTTCTGAGCTTGTTCCAAAAGAGACCGCTGAGGAACACTAATGAAAAGACAGAAAAGCATGTTCCATGTCCTAACGTTCATAAAGGGAATGTACAACTCAACATAAAGTCCAGCACAAAGTTTTGTATAAATATATGGATATATATCAAACTGAAAAAGAGGATCTTAAGTAATAGTTTCCAATTTCAGTTTTCCCCCAAACTTGCTATTTTGTGTAGAAAAGAGTAACAATTTCCAAAATAAAAAATATATGTTTCTATAGAGTGTATGTTTCCTTTACATATATATTAATTTCTAAAAATTTGTATAAGCTTTTAAAGCTAATATTCAGACAATATTATTATCTGAGTAACACAGCAATAAACATAATCTTATAGTGTATGTATTTTAACATAATAAACAAAATAAGTTACTGTTATGTCATATATTCTATTGTTATTATCTAGATTTTAAATGCTTGAAACTCATGTCTTTAACATCCCCTTCATGATTTAGATAGCTACACTGACAGACAAATAGAGCACTTTCGTTCTTACTATTCAAATTTAAGGAATATTTAGAGAGTTGCTTTGGACTAGTGCTGCTAAATTTTATAGTTATTGTGGCATTTATATATGGGAAGGACTTTGGTTATTGATTTAGTCCTGGAACAGACAAAATTTTTTCAATGGCCCCAAATTTCTGGAAAGACTTGAGTTTCATTTAATTTTGTAAATTTAACTATATTTAAATGTAATATATTTGCTATTAATAAATTCAAAATCCTTTTGTAAAGTGAACAATTATTCTTGAGTTTAACACCAAGTGTGGTTTTTTTATATTCGATTTTATTAAAGTCATGTTCCATTATACCAAAACCAACTACTCAAAACTAAACTGGTTTCTTTCCTTTGAGGTCAGATAGACTATGACAACCCATTAATTGAGTACAGAGAAAAAGAAATTTCCCAGTCTTGCTTCATAATTTTTCAAAATTTCTACACTTCAGTTAAATCTGAAGACATAGTAATGTGGGGTTTTAAAATAATGAAGCAGGAAGATATATACTACATAATATTAACTGTATGCCATCCGACCATACTGTCCAATATCTTGAGTATAGTGAGTGTTCAATAAGTATTATATATATTTGCTGACAGTGAATCAATATAACTTAAGTTCCCTCTATTATGAATTGGGGCTCGACAGGGTATGATTTTCTTAAAAAATGTACCTTAAAATTTGGTTTTCAAATATAACACATTGCACACAATATCTAAAATGTGGAACGTGATCTTTGAAAATTATTGAAAATCACCAATATTACAAAGATCAAAAAATACAGTGATTGATATCAATATTATATATGACATTTTATTGATATAATATTGAGTAGATTTGATTTTGACTCTAGGACATTTTTAGGCTTACTCATTATGTCACATTAACTTCTCATAGAAATAATTTGCATGTATGTGTTTTATCATGCAGTACATGTATGAAAATAGACTTGAAATTTCATGTCTTTTCATTGACTACCAATTGAATACTGTCAAAGTATTTGTTGTTAGTTTCACTTTAAAATTGTGAATCTAAATATTTCAGAAACTGCAGTATGTCCAAATGTGAAAGATAAAGGTAATGGATCATTGCAGTTAAGGTTTTAAATGTGGGCCAATAGTCAATGGTGATTACATTGTCAGTGACATTTTAGTTGATTTCACAAAATGTGGTATCAATGAAATGATTTTTATTTTCCATTCTATAATTCATTTTGAGAAATTTTAATAAATTAGAAATCAAAGATACATACCTTGAAGAGAACTTCACATGATTTGCACGATCCTGGTTGTTAGGCGCAGAAGGAGAACTCTCTTGAACCTTAAAGACACAATGCAATAGTTCAGTAGAATTCTCGATAAGTTCTTCGGACCTATTAATGTGTGGGAAAATGTCTGTCTTCCTATATATTTTCCTAACAGTCTAACTCATAAAATATGATTTTAATAAATAGATACTATTTTATAATTACTTATAACATTAGGCTTGCTTAACCATAATTTCTGATGGTATCTTTGATCTTTAGTATAGGAACAGATTCTGGAGCGCATATAATCAAAATCTTAATTTATTGTTGAGGAATTTGTAGCCCAAAGAGAGAAAAGTGACTTTTCTAAGAATTTTATATTAAGTCAAAGTAACATCTAACATCAGAATGTAGGCCTCCCAACTTCTAATTTAATGTTCTTTATATGTTATCACATTTCTTTTTATATCAAGTTTAAACTTCTCACTCAGAATTTAAGTTCAGATTCTTACACACTCATCCTTTTAAGTTAACCCTAGATTTTCCAAAGTTGTCACACACATCCACATACATTTCATTTAAATCTCTTGAGTCAAAACTGCCCCGTCTTTAAGAAAGTAAGAAAGTATTTTTTTCTGCTTTACAATTTGACTGCATTATCACAATTAGTGTTCCAAGTACTGTTTCAACTCTAAAATTAATTTGCATTTTACTAATCATACAATCATTGAATATGGCCACATACTCAAGAAAGGGTGCATATAATAAGCTAGCTTCCATCAATAGGGGAGATTCACTTTCTGCCAACAACGGTAGACAGGGCCAGGGAATGTTGTTTTGCTTCACTTAGTCTTGTATCACCACACTTCTACTCAAAGCAGTTTTAGCTGCTCAAAACATAGGTAATTCTGATGTGCAATAAGGCAGTCATACTAGATTCTTTAAAAAGGACATTTCACCATGTTACTTGTTAAATCTAGCATATTCATGCAGATAAACTCATTTTATACTTTCTAGAAATTAGAGTAGCCTTAGTACAGTATTTTTTCTTTATGAAGTGACTTGTCAAGGCTATATCTACATTACAAGAGACAGGTAGGTAAGGGTAAGCATCTGCTGATTTTTTTTTTTTTTTCACTTTCAATTCATATAATTGGGATCATATGACCCAGTCTGGGCTTTTTGGTTTACGAAGTTGATCTTAGGAAGTTTATTGGCACTACTGGAGGCCAAAATTACTCAAAATAGGTAATGATCAAAAATAAAAAAGATAATGCCTAATATAAATTGGCTGTATTTAATTTCAAAACTGGGGAGAGGAAAATGATTAGTAAGAATAGCGTATACTAAGATAATGATGCATTTCAAACCAGACATAGCTCATTACATTTCCTGCTTAAGTCATGCTTAAGGTAATAATTATTACCTGAGAGTATGAATAAAGTCATTTAATAAGGCAAATAAAAAGACATATTGCCTCTTTTAATTAAATAATACAATCTGGCTTATGTTCCTTCTGCCAGTGGTTAGTATTTACAAAAGAATACTCTTTGTTATTCACTTCAGAGGACTATTAGTATTAGGGGGATTGTATTTAAACAGAAGAGTTGTCTACAAAAGACTTCATAGTAGACTCCTGTGAAACATCTTGTGCTGATTAGGAGCAACGAGGCTCCTGACCCACCATCAATAAGGCAAGAGTTTGAGTTCTTCAGTGACTCACCTAATCTACTTGACTGTTCAGAAAATCTACAAAAAGATTGTTTTAGATGGCTGTTAGGAACACTGGCTGTGATAATGATGCTACCTTGTCTAGACAAGAAAACCTACAACTCTGGCCTCTCCAATATATGTACTAAATAGGATACTATTGATATAGTCATGAAAACAGAAGGTAAGTAGACACTAGGACTAACTTAATTATTCTTATAATTGTAAAAACAAAAAACAAAACAAAACAAAAACCACAGATTAAATGACCCAGCCTCTGTCACGAACTACATCCCCGACCAGAGAAAATCAAGGAAAAATATTTGTGTGATTGTGTTACAAACTGAAACTACCAGCATTTTTCATGTACAATATTTTTGCTTAAAGAAAGACTGACAAACTATGACTATTCAGACTATGGGTATTTGGTAGACATTTTATTTTTAATGAATAAAGTAAGCCTGTCAATTTAAAGGGAAAAAGTGATGCTATAATTTAGCAATGATAAAATTTGAGCTTGCAAAGGAAAATTAGAATTTTCAAACATATCTGCCATGAATCACTTGATAACAATATTCAATAAATTTTATGACGAACTTGATGGTGTTGAGCGATGAGAGCACATGGACAAAGGGAGGGGAGCACTACACACTGGGGTCAGTTGGGGGGAAATGGGGGAGGGACGGTGGGGGGTGGGGAGCTGGGGG